TTTTTTTTCCTCCAAGTTGTTTTCTCCATCTCGAACTCTTCTTCAAATCCAATACCGATTTTCAATTTCCAATGAGCTTCCAAAATAGAATTTCAACTTGACATAGGACTCCAATAGCATTCAAAACTTGAATTTTTCTTGACGTGCACTTCAATTAGAATTCTTCAATATTTCAAATAAGGAATTCGGATCACACCCAAATTCTAACAGTAACAATTTGAACAAAGCCCACAGAAATGCCCTTCGGATACAAAGGTACCTTCTGGGATATTAAGCTGCATCGAATCAGTTCAGAGTCGTGTTTATTAAAATTTTGAGGTCTGACTTTGTGAATTCCTTTTGTTATCCTTATTGAAATATTCAATAAAATGGAAGAATTTACTACCACAATATGTTAGGTAAAATTGTAATCTCTCACCCCACCTAAAAAACACAATGTTTGCAAAGATTAGGCCATTTCTTACTCTAACAGTGAAAATAAGAACATTAAGTTATGAGAACGACTACTTCAGAGTTACTAAAATATTGTATGTGTGATATTATTATTGTTATTATTTTTAAATAGAAAATTTAATCGGTTATTGTTGTATATAGCAATGAAAGGTACTACAGTAGGGTAGCAATTAACTATTGATACCTTTTTCTATAGCATAACTTCTCCTTCACAAATTTCAGGTTATATTCAAAGTATGCATGGGAGAGATCTTTTCTTTTTTTGTGTCTAGTCGGACTTTAGCAAGGCCCGTTACAAATGGTGCCAATTCTTGCTATCCAAGCGAACCACTTGTTTTTTAACCAAGAATTATGCAAATTAGAGAAATTACTCGACCCACCTGGACCGAGCCATCCACCCCAGGTTGGGCACGTCAAAGTAGTAACTCAGGTACGTTTATCTCAAACAACGATTTACTTGACATCTCTATTTAATAGAAAAATATGAGCTCATGACATTAGTCATTACGCGGACTAATCGACTTATGTTATATTCTTTTTAATACAATCATGAATATGAAATAAACACGATTCATTTGGAATTCGAATTGGTACGTGCACCTCCTAATGAAAACCTATAGGCTTGTTTGTTTTATGCATAAATAGACTTGAGACAAGTATATTTAATACCACTTTAACAAGTGATACTCTTATAATCGAGTCATTTAATCTTATCTTTTTAGCATTGATTAATCCGAAGAAGATCTCATAAAAGAGAGACAAATCTCATATCTCCTTCCGTTCTTTATTTCTCCATTCTGTCAACGCACAATAATCACTTCCCATCCCAAAATATAAAGGGGATGAATTTGAACATACTCTCAGTGAATATGATTAAATTGTATGCCTGGTAAAACTTTTTGTAGATTATAAGTTGTGGTTCGACCGGATGCTCTAAAATTTTTAATGTTTAGAAAGTCGTACACATTGGACGTATTTGGTATAAAATAGCGCACTAGATTATGCATTAGAGTCTACGAGCTCCAACTCTGTCCACAATTTACTAGAGGAGAGGTTTTGGTGAGATTTGAATTGGTCAGCATTTGCAAACTCTGTTTCTCAGTCAAAAAATCAACTCTCCCATTCCTTTTCCACATCCCTTTCTGTTCCCTATCAATCCTAAAAGGTGTATTTAAATTCAGATGGCCTCATTTTCTAGCCACTTCATCAGCTTCATCTCTAACTGCTATCCCTTCAAGCCCATTCAATTTCAGGGTTCGTTACGTCTGTCATTTGTTCTCATAGTTTGCTTGTTAAAAAGTTTGCAGTAAAGCATTTTACGGTTTCCATGCAGGCGTAAGATCAATCTAAGGCGAAGAGGACAAGTCCAGACGTCATTCTAGGACAGAGAGAAGGTTAACAAGGGCATTTCACAAACTTCTGATGTTTCTGCAGTTGAAGTGAACTGTGAACTAGCATTTACGACATGTCGAATTTTACTCTCTATACAATCGCAGCGACCAAGTATAAGAAATGGAGAATACTTTTACATAGGAATATATTCATATAGGCAATGCTAGTGGTACATCATAGTCTACATTAGGGGTTACACCCCCCTCACATGGGAGGTGGGGTCTACTCGAATAAAAAAATATTATTCCACTAGGTCCCACATCCCATGTGAGGGGGGTGGAACCCCTTATGTACACCACTTGATGTACAAGTGGAAATACCCTATTCATATTTGCAGAAGATGCGATAGATGTACATACCATCATCTTCAAAACTGTTGGGCAACAAAGCAAGCGTAGAGATCTGATGATGATCCTACAACATGTTTGAAATCACATACAAAGGAACGCATACGTGTAACCACTCTGCTAATGAATTTCCACAGCCAGTCAGCATACAAGAATCGAACCACAACAACAGAACCAGATGCTATTAAACTTCCAAGCAAATCATAGAGTCGACACTGAGGACTTGGATAAAGATGAGAAGCCACCTCTCTTCTCGTTTCCCTCAACATTTGCATGCTTAGAAGGAGAAAATCATATGTTTCCAGTCTCTACTCTTGTTGATGAAATTCACTTAGACTCTTATTCTCATTCATGTCAGAATCAAATTACTTACTCTACCAGATGAAAAACTTTTAGGGCATTTCATAATTTACAATAATCAGAATCTGATATTGATGTTCTAATATCAGCCAATGCTTCGACAACCAATTCTCCGATTGGAAGCACGGAGTTCTTAGTTGAACCTTTAGATTTGGATTCAAATTTTCTATTCAGATTTTTTTACATAATACTAAATTATACATTGCAGAAGAGGTCAATAAATAGAAGATGACATGATTCTGCACCACAGTATTTGATCCTTGTCGCATTAAATACCAGATACTTTCTTGTAAAAAATTATTTACAGACTCAAAATGTTAGCAAGTAAAAATCTATTTATAAAAAAAATCTGCAGCGAAATTTTCATGTACAGCTGTTCAGTCGGGTTTCTTGGTAACCAAGATTAGAGCAAGTTTGGCTGAACTTAAAAAAATTACCCATATTACGAATTAAATTTTAAATTATGTAAATAAGTAACTTTTGTGACTTAAGTACGGAAATTAAATAGCAACAACTTGTACAATATTTAAGCTTAGCCAAGCATGCTCTCAATCAATTCAAAAAAAATTAACAGTGCAAGAAAGAGTGCTATAAACAGGAAGCCAAGAAAGATACGTACAAAATCAATTTTGTAAAGCCTTAATCTTTAGGATTATGCTAGATGTACACCCGATGATTTACACACGGGGTTACACCCCCCTCACATTGAGGGGGCCACGAATATTTTATTGTGTGTGGGCCTAATCCAGTGTGTAAATGATTGTGTACATCTAGCATAATACTAATCTTTATGATGTAATGCAGCACAAGAAACTCAGTGCAACTATTCTTGGCTCGACTCAAAACACAGCATCAGGAGATTGATGGAAGCATCAAGCGAGAGAGGGTGGAGTTTATACAATTAATGACAATTCATCCAATACAATATAAAGCAAATTATACAACAATTAAATAAATGGAATTCGTAATTTAATTATACATAAGAAAATTATAGGATTGATAACAAAATGGACTTTGCAAAAGTAACCAACCAAGAAAGTGATTCTTTGACCATATAGAATTCAGTTCAGAGGTAGAATACTCATCCATTAGTTTTTGCAACAGCAACTCAATCATAGACGACGAAATCATAACACTGTATACGCAATCTCCACAATTTTATAGTATAAAGTAAACTATCCAAATAACAGAAAGATCTAATCTGTATTTTAATTCTACATAATAACAAAATGTACTTTGCACTACCCTACTTCGTACCAACCCCGGGAAAAAATTAGTCCTGATCCTCGCCGTTGCTTATAATCTCCCTTGACTGTGCCACCACCTTGCACTTTATTTCTTGAATCGCCGCCTCGAGTTCATCAAGCTCAAGAAGCCCTAAATTCTGAACGCCAACATCCCATGATGCCCTTCCCTGCCCAATCAACTCCACAATCTTTTTCTCCGCCTCAGACATTGGAGGCATCACCACCTCATCTTCGTTTCTCGTAAGAGAAGAAGAAGTCGGAGGCATCACCTTCTCATCTTCGTTTTTAGTCAGAGAAGAAGAAGGATCAGTGAAGTATCTATTCAACACGGACTCCACGCTTGGGTGGCCGAAAAAAAAGGCGTTTCCAGCCTTGGAAAAAGTGAGAATCGCCGCCTCAGCTTCGCACATTGTGCAAAGAACTTTGGTTTTCTTGAAGAGGCCTTGACGTCTTTTTGTGAAAGTTGTGTACATCTTTGGTTTTTCCTCGATTTTCTTGATTTCAACCCTTTTGCGTACCATGATTTTTACCCTTGCAAGAAAGACTTCACCGAGAGAATTTTTATGGGTGTCAATTGCTAAATTCTCTGTTTATATACGGGGAATTAACCCTATGGGCCGTCAGGCCCATTAACTGACCAAATTGCAAAATTAATCTAAAAAACTAAACTCTATCCAAACTAGTGTAACCATTTATTTTTATCAAACTACTATTTTTTTTACATCACCACAGAAGTATAACTCACGTAACATGTAATGCAATGTATTACAAGCATGTTACACCACCACCATCAGTATTTCCATCAATGTTGAAATCACCATCATCTCTATCAAAACCAATTTTCACCACTACCATTCATGATTGAGCTTCACTCATTGTTTAATGTCACTTAAAATTGATATTTTGATTGTTTGAGCAATTTAAAATGTTTTGATGTGTATCTTCGTGTTGTTTTACATGTTAGCTAACTTGGTGAATATGGCAAGTTTGGAGCGTGAAAAAGAGCCAAAGTTCATATGATTGTGGATGGATTGAAAAGACTTGGAATTAATCAAGGATGGAAAAGAAAATAATGAAAGCAAGAAGGAGAAGACACAAGGCAAGAAGGGGCGTTGCAGCGCCGTGGATTGGGCAATGTGGCCCCCAGTTACGATAGAAAGAAGTCTGGCGTTGTAGTACCCGGTCACAGTAGTTAAATAGAAGTCTAGTGTCGCAACGCCGACGCACCCAATAATAAACAGAAATTTGAAGCTGCGTGCCGCATCGCCAATGCAAGAACTTCGTGGAGCTGTAGGGCAGCGAAGACAGCACCAAGGCGGCGCCGCGCGAAAAGGGCTTTTCTTAAATTTTATTGATTCTTTTAATGCCCAATCGGCCCCCAAGTCATATAGGACGAGAGAAGACTATAAATACAACCATAAAGACCGCTTTGAAGGGGATTGAACACCGCAAGAGGCAATTAAACAAGAGATTGATCTCGAGAAAAAAAGGAGGCAACAAAGAAGAAGAATTCCAGCGCCAACCCAGTTTTTATTTATTTATTTTTTTCTATGTTTTGGATATTGAATTTGATTATGTGTATTGCATTAATCATGTTCTAAACTTCTAATCTAGGGTTTGATGTAGCCATAACTTGAGACATGTTTGGATTTTAATATAAGTACTTCTTTTAGTTTTTCCATGAGTTTATTTGTGTTGATTCTTGCACATTACTTTTAAGTACCTAATCAATAATTGAATGATTTGATGTCTTAAATTTAGACACTTGAGAGAGGGGAATTATGTATAATCTAAGAATAACACAACTTAGATTTGTAGGTTTCGAGAGAGAGTATGAATCTTTGAAACACATTCCACTTAAGAACCACACTTGATAATTTCTAGATTTTAATTCGGAATAAAGATATAGGAATTGAAATATATAGATAAATTCTATTTGGCACTTGAGAGAGAGAATAAAATTAAGTTAGGGTTCTTGTTCTTAAACCTAGGAAAAATAGATAGAAATAGTTATATAATTTGAGAAACATTGTCGATAGTGCGGTGAAATCATTCCCTAAGCTTTTTCACGTTGATAAATCTCAAATTTTGCCTTATTTTACTTAAACTGCTACCACATCCACGTTAGATTAGTATCAAAACATTGATTTTAACTTTATTTTCTAGATAAAGTAAAATCTAAAATAATTATAGTACTTAGTAGGAATTAAATATCAATCCATGTGGGTTTGACAATCTATTTCTCTTCATATATTACAAAACTTGACACCGTTCACATGAAAGATAATTTACGTTGTACAAAATGCATAACAAGTTTTTGGCATAATTGTCGGGAATTGTTTTAGCTTCTACCGATATTATTACCAATTAACTTTTATTTTGATTTAGATTGTCGGGCATTGTTTTAACTTCTACCGATATTATTACCAATTAACTTTTATTTTAATTTATATTTTAATTGTTATTTTTATCTCTAATAGTTTCTTTGTTTTTATTTTCAGCTGTGTATGCGATGAGTGAGGAAACTTGAACTATTACATGTTGATCCTGAATCAGAACGCACATTCCATTTTCTAAGAGGTATATAGAGAAACTAACTTGAAGCAATGGCAGAACATGAAGCAACAATAGTCAATGGAAATAATTAACAATTGGTCATTCGAGACTATGTCAGACCAGTTGTTAATGATAATTATTCTGGTATTGCACGCCCAGCTATTACTGCAAATAATTTCGAATTGAAGTCAGGACTAATATATATGGTACATAAGAATCAGTTTGGAAAAGCTCTGACAGAAGACCCAAATGCTCATCCGAGTTCATTTCTGGAGATTTGTGATACAGTGAAGATGAATGAAGTTACTGATGAGGCAATTAGACTCCGTCTATTTTCTTTCTCCTTGAGGGAAAAAGCCAATGCTTGGTTCTAGTCACTATCGTACAATTCTATTACTACTTGGGATGACTTAGCTAAAACATTCCTCACCAAGTACTTCCCACCTTCCAAGTTAGCTCAACTTCGGAGTGAGATTGGTCAATTCAGACAATCTAACTTCGAACCATTTTATGAAGCTTGGAATAGATTCAAAGACTTGCTTAGTAAGTGTCCTGAACATGGTTTTCAAAGTTGGATGCAGATTAATATCTTCTATAAAGGGTTAAATGGGCAAACAAGAACCATAGTAGATGCAGCTACAGGAGGTACTCTAATGGCTAAAGTAGCAGATGCAGCATATTCCTTGTTGGATGACATAGCTACAAACAGCTACCAATGGCCAAGTGAGAGATCAAGCGTAAAGAGAATAGAGGGTCTACATGAAGTGGATCCTATCACTGCACTAATAACACATGTTTCATCACTTACTAATCAGATAGCTACACTTACTACTCGCAGTAACCAACAAAAGGCATATCCAATTATGGCTTCTTCAGCACATCAGGAGACAGTAATAGAAAACGAGCAAGCTCAGTATGTCAACAATAGGAACTACAATCAGAGAAGAAACTATTATTCCAATCATTATTATCCAGGGCTTAGAAATCATGAGAATTCATCATATGGCAACAACATGAACGTACTTCAACCTCCTCCTAGTTTCAATACTTAACAATCAGAAGGGAAAACGTCATTGGAAGACCTTCTGAGGACTTTTATTTCAGAGATGAGATCAAGGTTCAACAAAGATAAGTCATGTTTGGATAATATCGAGACGCATGTGACCAATATAAGGACTACAATGAAGAATCTTGAAGTGCAGATTGGTTAGTTAGGTATATCAATGAAGCCTCAACAACAAGGAAAGTTTCCAAGTGATACAGAAGTGAATCCGAAAGAACACTGCAAAGCTATTACCTTGAGGACTGGTAAGGAAGTTAGAGAAAACATGCCTATAGTACCACCAGCTTCTATACCTGATCACGAGGAAGGACAGATAGTTGCAGAACAAGAAAATCAAGCCGATGAAATGAAGAATGCTTACAAGCCTAATTCTATATCATTTCTTACTAATCTACCAATCATCAACCCAACACTTCATTTTCCTTAGAGGTTACAGAAAAAGAAGTTTAATGCACAATCTGCCAAATTCTTGGACATTTTCAAGAAAATTCACATTAATATCCCATTTGCAAATGCTTTGGAGTAGATGCCAAACTACGCTAAGTTCATGAAAGAGGTGATGCCAAAGAAGAGGAAGTTGGAAGAATATGAGATAGTAAAGTTGATAGAGGAATGCAGTGCTATTCTTCAAAAGAAGCTCCCTCAGAAAAGAAAAGATTCGGGTAGCTTCACTATTCGTTTGTACTATTGGAGGCTTCCCTTATGATAAAGCCCTTTGTGATCTTGGAGCAAGCATCAACTTGATACCATTGTCAGTTTTCAAGAAGTCAGGCCTCGTGGAGGTAAAACCAACAACAGTTATTCTGTAATTAGCTGACACGTCCCTCACATACTCACGAGGGATTATTGAAGACATTTTAGTGAAGGTTGATAAATTTATTTTTCCAGCTGATTTCATGGTATTGGATGTGGATGAAGATAAAGAGATTCTATTGATTTTGGGTAGGCTATTCTTAGCAACAGGAAGAACTCTAATTATGTACAGATAGGACAACTGACATTGAGAGTGAATGAAGAAGAAGTGATGTTCAATATTTACTTGGCAATGAAATTCTCAGATGACACCAATATTTGCAATAGAATTGACTTCATCGATTCTTTTCGAGGGAAGAAAAAATATTCATTGAGGACTCCTTGGAGCATTGTATGATGTTTAGTGCAACAAATGATGACAATGACACTTCTGGAGGGTAGCAAAGACTTAGTTGTTTGCATATTGGCTCTTGAATCTTCACCAATTGAAGATAATCCATCACAACATGAAGATATTTAGCAGTCAGTGGATTTAGATGACAGCAAGGGTAATGAAAGTAGTAAATCTGAATTGAAGCAACTTCCAGACTACATTTGATATGCGTTCTTGGAAGAAAATTCTACATTTCTGGTGATTATTTCTTCCTCACTTACCAAAGATGAAAATGACAAATTACTGAAAGTCCTAATAGAACATAAAGGTGCTTTGGGTTGGTCTATAGCTGATATCAAGGGGATAAGTCCTACAGTTTGCATGCATAAAATTCTCATGGCAGACTCTTACAAACTATCTATTGAGCGTCAAAGAAGATTGAATCCAACTATGAAAAGAAGTGGTGAGAGCAAAGATACTAAAGTTACTGAAGACAGAGATCTTATTTGCTATTTCAGATAGTGCATGTGTTAGTCCAATACAGGTGTACCAAAGAAAGGTGGGATGACAGTAGTCAAGAATGACAACAACGAGATGATTCCTACAAGAACAGTGATTAGTTGTAGGGTTTGCATTGATTACATGAAGCTGTACAAAGCAACTAGAAAAGATCATTTCCACTTCCATTCATTGATCAAATGTTGGACAGGTTAACAGGCTACTCTCACAAATGTTTTTCTTGATGGTTATTCTGGATACAATCAGATTGCAATAGT